CCACTTATTCCTGTTGAGCAAATCCGCTACTTAGGACTCCACCTTGACAAACGACTCACTTGGAACCCCCATACCAGACTGAAACGACTAGAAACCGCCCGACGTTTTCGACTACTGCAGCACTTACTAGACAAACGATCTAAGCTTTCAATCAATTATAAACGACTCGTATATATGACAATAATAAGACCTATTTGGACTTACGGAATTGAGCTTTGGGTCTCCACTAAACCATCGAATTCCTCTCGTATCCAATCCTTACAATCCAAAATCCTTCGTAAAATCCTCAACGCTCCTTACTTTGTCACAAATGAAATCATCCATAAAGACCTTAATGTTCCATATGTTTCCGATCTGGCCCAATCCAGATACCTTTCCTTCCATAACAAACTGCAGAATCATCCGAATCCTCTCGTTTCAAACCTTGCTTCCTCCTCGATCCCTGATAACCCTCCGAGGCGTCTGAAAAGAAGATGGCCTCGGGATCTTCTAATACAGAACTTTAATTTGAGTTCTACCAATGGGTAGTTTCTCTTCATGTTGTACATGCCATGTTACAAATTTCTCATTTACTTATTGTATTCTCTATGTAATACAGTTGTAAATTCCATTGAAATAATAAAAAAAAAAAAAAAAAAAATTTCTTATCCTATTTGCTTTATTTTTTTTAGTTATTTTGTATTTATTTCCCTTTTATATGTACATATTACAAGTAAATGAAGACAAAACAAAAAACATAATAATAAGGCGAAAATTCCACCCCAATAACAGAATCATAGAAAGGAAATGATGGATCCACAACAACATCAATTAATGACCAACGGGCAGAAATAGACCAGTGTATAACTAGCACAAACAGAGCTTTGTTCTCCCTTTCAAAGGTGTTGAAATCCCGAAAAATCTAAAGAAATCTCAAATTAAGGGTGTACAATGCTAAGATAAAGCCAGTTCTAATATATGAATGTGAGACCTGAACACTAACCAGCATCCTAGAAAAAAGTATTGAAATATTTGAGAGAAGAATCCTCCGCACTAAAACCGGAGCGGTCTAGGATCAGAATACTAACATATTAAGAAAAAAGACCAATAAAGAACTGCTTACAGAAACTGGTCAATCGATATCCCATGGTATGAAGGCACGGGGGTTAAGATGGGCAGGGCATGTAGCTCGTAGCAATCCATCCGGAAGCCTCTATTTAACAATGAATGCCTCAATAGAAGACAAAGACTACCAGGAAGGCCAAAAAGCAGATGGATAGATAGAATCAACAAAGATGTTAAAGAGCAGCTTGCAGATAAATGGAAATAAATAGCCCAAGGAAGGCAGAGATGGAACCGGCTTTTTAAGATCTACATGGTCTGTAATGCCAACAGAAAAAAAAGAAGTACATATTGTGTGAATGATTATAACATATTATTAATACATTAGCCCTAACCCTAATGCCCTTAAATGTGACAGATTATAAAGCACGGAATATCAACAGGGCATTTTAATAAAAATAATATTTAAAATTAAATCAATAATACTCACATTTTTTTTTTCCACCGTAACCAGGAAAGTTCGAGTAATTAATTATAATAATAATAAAAGGCTTAGCGAACCCGAAGGTTCGATGCCGACACCGCCAATCGAAAGAGGCCGACACAAGATCAATCAAAAGAGGCCAGAAAATTAAGAGACGCTAAATAAGAATGACTTAATTAAAAATAAAGCACACATTTAATTACTAATTATCTCTGTATTCAAAGTGAACAATGTTCCGTTTTCAACGAATAGTTCAAAGATCAATTGGCATATAAATTAAGAATTGGTCTTTTATTGAAACCGATTCATCTATATTGAATTGGAGGTTTAGACAACTCCTAACCAACCTAGTAAAAGAGTTTAAACCTTAATGGCTTCTGTAATATTTACACACGAAACCTTCCAAAAGACTTCCTTTGAATAAAACAAGAAACCCAGTTCTCAACTTCCGCTATCCTGCCACGTTAATCAGGGCGATCTTTAATTTATTATGAACGGTATAGAAGTTGTTTACTAGAAAAAGATAAAAATACGAAACTTACGGCATTTAAATCATGTAAAGTATATAACAATATAACATGAGGCGAAACTGATTTTAAAAATCATTCAAATAAAAAATATTAAGGGAAGGCTAAGTAGTCAGCTGATCAATTATAAGGATGAAACAAAATTGTCAGGATTTTCAGTCGATATATATATATATATATATATATATATATATATATATATTGAGTTATCCGACGTTTCGACCCACATATTTGGATCAAAACGTCGGCTAATCCTGAATATCGACTAAAATTCCTGACAATTTTGTGTTTTATGCTAAAAATAATAAAGTATTTGTCAACTATTTACACCTCAGAAGAAAGGGTGTCCCTTCTATTTAATGTTATTTTACTTTTTAACGACCGAAGGTAAGAATATTTTATATTCATGTGAGAATGAGTCTTCATCAAAAATTTTCCACTCGCACACCTCGCACACGTTTAACGTTGTCGACATCAAGGAACAAATTTGGGTCGTAGTCTACCTGTAGTCAAATCTATGTGAAATACTACTCACTAGGTACTTTTAATCAGATTTTAATGAATTTTCCGAGTTGGTACCTATCTATGTATCAATGTATTGGTACATATCTTACAACCTTTGGTCAGTTGGTTGGTAAGGTGCAAAACATATACGACATCTGCGCTCAAACAATAGAACAATACTATTAATAAAATATCTAGTTGACAGATAAAAAAATAAAACAAATAAATAAGCAAATAGAATAAAACAAATTAGAACAAATAATTTTTTTTTAGGGATTGTGCTACAGGATTTGGATGATGAGTGAGGTTCTGGTGAAATTTGGAAAATTTATCTGGGATTAGGTCAATAACAAATGGGAAATGAAGGTCATCATGGAGGGTTTTATTGGTTACATAGAAGGGAGCATCGCCTATTCTTCGGAGGCTATAGACTGAAAGGATTGAATGCGTTTAATGTTAAAAGGTTTTGTTGTCCCCCACAACTCTAGTCCGTAGATTCAGATAGGTTACAGGAGTTTCTTGTAGATTAGTATTTTGTTGTGGACTGGAAGTAAGATTTTCTATTCATTAGTCTATAAAACTGTCCGTATCGTCTGTTAAGTTGTTGTCTTTTAAGTCTGGTATGTGGATTCCACGTTAGTCTGTTATCTAGAAGAAAGCCAAGATAACGGACTGTGTCTGAGAGAGGAAGTGGATTTGAAATAGACTGGTGGACAGGACTTGCGCCGAAGGGTAAAAGTGATGTGTTTGGATTTGGATGCGCCACTTATTACACCAATAAAACGAATAAATAAAATAGATTAAAAATAAATAAAAATAGAATTAAAAAGAATTGAACAAATAAAAAGTAAATAACTAATATTAATATGCCATACATATAAAAAAAAAAACACCAAAAAATTACATTATGGGTGAGAAATATTTAAAGATGTGATAGCAGAACTCAAGAGCTATGAAAAATTAAATACAAAGCATTGTCCAATTAAGTCACGTTTTAGTATATTACTTAATAGTAAATTTCCTTCAAATAAAAATAGAATTTATCTTGTTTCAACCTAGACTAAGAGGACTTAGAAGCGGCTAAATTATCCTCAGTTATATTTTCCTAAAAAAAATTATGAATTAATCGCTTAAAAAATTTTTTTAATCTACCTTCAACTACCTTATAGATAGAACCCAACTTCTAGAAATACTTCCTTGTTTAAGGAACTTTTAGTGTTATATTCATTTTGAGGTTTATTACTAATTGCTTCGTGATTCAACTATATGTTCACATTTGTCAATAATCATAATTAATTGAACAGATTTCTACGGGGATTGATCATTATTATATTAAGTGACCAGCTAAATGTTTTTAATTATATTATTTAGGTTTTGACAAATAAAAATAAATAAGATTAAAAGAAAATAAATAAATAACCACCGTTTGTATCAGGACCATCTAGTATTTCACTTAGATTTGATTACAGGTAGACTACGCCCCAAATTTGTTCCTTGATGTCTACAACGTTAAACGTGTGCGAGTGGAAAACTTTTCATAAATATTCATTCTCGCATGAATACAAAGTTTTGTTACATTCAGTCATTAAAAAGTAAAACTAGCATTAAATAGAAAGGACACCCTTTCTTCCGAGGTGTAAATATTTGACAAATACTTTATTATTTTTAGCATACAACAGAACTGTCAGGAATTTAAGTCGATATTTTTATTGGATTAGCCGACGTTTTGATCCAAATCTGTGGGTCTAATCGTCGGCTAACGCAATAAACATATCGACTGAAAATCCTGACAATTTTGTTTCATTTTTAAAATTGATCAGTTGACTACTTACCCATCCCTTAATATTTTTTATTTGAATGATTTTTATACCAGTTTGGCCTTATATTATATTGTTATATACTTAACGTGATTTTTTAAAATATTTTTTTAATTGAATATTAATAGATTCTGCCTCATTAAAGGGCATTAATATTAAGGCTACATGAATCATTCACACAATATATACATACGAATAATAACTAATATTTTTCGATAATAAAGAAAAAGAAATATAGAAAAATAAAATAAGTAAATTGATATGCCTGTGTACAAGAAAATGAAATAATAAATAAAAGCTAAATGAAATTAAAGTAAATAAAACACATCCACACTTATGTACAATAACATAATTTAAATGCGGTAAGTTTCGAATTTTTATCTTATCCAGTAAAAAAAATAAAATAAAAATAAATATGATTAAAAGAAAATAAATAAATAACCACCGTTTGTATCAGGACCATATGGTCCAATGATTATAGAAGCATTGTTCTTTTTTTTCCTCTGTTTTTTTTTTCTATGTTTAGGAACAGTAGATGAAGTCTAACTGAGAAAACACAAAGATAAAATGAACGTTATTTATTGATTTATTTCAATTTTCATAGACGAGAACAGGAGATGTTCGAGCTTAGAATGAAGATGGCGCTGGTGTATACAGGGCTGTGACCCCCGAAACAGGCTGGGCAAACAGTGAGCCGCCTACTACCGTTATTTCCGCACCGCTTAGCGCCTTTTTATACTCTACTGCAGTCCAAGCCTTCACCGCTACCTCCTTCCGACCTTCCGGACTAGGGTAAAAAAGGAAAAAGGATAGTGGATTATGATATCTGAATTTATCAGTGGTATCACGAATATGAATGGGTGAGGGACAAGATATATGATAGAAATACCATAGTGATAAGAAAAAGTATTTTATAATTGTAGGTTTATGGTTGACTGTAGTAAATAACTGAAGAGAAGGATGGTTGGAGTGTCCAGTCAAATTGAAATGGTAAAAAATAAATTATTTTATTTATTTTTACATTCGCCGACGTTTCGGCCCAAAGTGCAGGGCTGGGAAAAGAACCAGATAACAATAGATATAATAACAATGAATAGACATTGAATAATACATAATTAAGATTTTAAAAAAGGGTGATAGGTAAAGACTAATAATTTTTAGTAGAACAACCTAACGTAAAATGGAGTAGATAGAATGAGCATTAAAGTAAAACAAAGTAGGTATAATGATAACCGTAACAGAGAACTAAGAAATAAATAATAATAACTGTAACAAAACACGAACCAATGTAATAAGCATAATAAAATATAAGGTAACATAAGAAACGAACATAGTAATCTAGAATATAGTGTACAACAGAAGGTTCTTTTCCCAGCCCTGATGAAGGCCTGAACTTCGGGCCGGAACGTCTGCGAATGTAAAAATAAATAAAATTATTTATTTTTTACCATTTCAATTTGAGTGAACACCCCAACCACCCTTCGCTCCAAAAAAGTATTTTAGATATCCAACGAATATAAACTCTCGGCGTCAAAACATAACGCAGACTAGTAATTTAAAGATAAATCGTTAGCTAGATTGGGGCACGTGAAAAAAAAAAAAACCTGCAACTTTATGATGGATTATAAATAATTTCGGGTATGTTTTCAGCCTCAGTTATTATTCTTTTATATAAATGTACTTTTTCTTCAATTTATGTATAGTACTCGGACGTTACCAAAGTCTTTGAAGTTCATGAACACAACTCTTAATTCCAACTCTCATAATTAATCCAATAAGGACGTTTTTGTTCCTATTATTTATATCGATGTTTAACTAGACTAATTCTTTAATTCCTATTAACTTGAGTTTGCTTTTGTGGTCAATTACATTTTTAAAACGCAAGTGCAATGCCAGAAGAAAAATTCATGATTCGCGGTCTTTCAAAAAAAATGGTCTACGCGCTAAGGCAGCTTCCGAAGAAACTTGTGCAGGAAGAATCAGTGTCAGTTATTCATCGAAATACTGGAACACGTTTCAACAATATGAATATGAGCCGTTTAGCGAATAAAGAGTTTGCTCTTTCCTGATGGTCAGGCAGTCAAATATTTACTATGAATAGCAAAAAGAGTTTATATAGTTTCCAGAGCACAATATCCCGCTTTGTACAGCACGAATCGAGCAGTTTCGCAATTCGACAATACCCCTACAGGTCACTTGTTAGACCAAAGAAACATTATCGTTTCTTCTCATTAACATTATCCGCAAGCAGTAAACGTTTTGCCTCATCCAGCGCCTATCTCAGATATTGCACCATGCGATTATGGTTTGTTTACATCAATTTTTAAAAAGGTGGATCTTTAATAATTACGAGGAAGTATAACTTGGACGTGAACCGTACTTTGCCTTTCGACCAAAGGAATGGTACCGGCACCAAATCCAATTATTGGCAGAAAGATTGGCGAAAGTAGTTGAAAACAACAAAGTTTACTCTTATTAAGTTATGACGTTTATTGTCAAAGATAATTGTACGGAATATGATAAAACGTCAGGAGAATTTGTTCATCGCAGTAGCTATTCTCCAAAAAAAAGTTATTACTATATAACAATTAAAAAAATATTACAATGTCTGTGAGGCACGGTTGGTAAGTCTCAATTATTTTTCAGTTCCAACTACTCCTTTCCTTTCCCGATAAACATATCTGGGCTCCGGGCCAACCAGCTTCATTTCTGAGCCATTTTCACCAGTTCAGAAGACAACCTTACTGCGTTCAACTTAGTCAACCTTTTGTCCTTCAAGAAAAACAAATATGATTTTTTTTTTCCATTACTCTGTTTCCTTCAAACATTCAAATTGCATTTTACTTTATAGCCACCAACATCTCACTTTTTTTGGACATCTAAAAAGTAATTAAATTGTTATAAACAATAAATTAGACCGTGATTTTCATTAGTTGGTATAAGCTGCATGACTCGCAACGCAATTCAATCCAAACTTTGCTATTGAAATTACTCTTTAATAGAAAGAAACTAACGATTTTCTTGACATTATTAACCGATTTGTAAAAAAATTTCACAATAAAAACATACAGTGAAAAGGTAATCTTATGTGCATAGTTAAAGCTGAAATTAAGAACACAATCTTAAAACAAACAACAAGATTTTGATTTTATTGATTTGATGGATTAGAAGTGATACGTCACAGTGCTATAAAAATGGAGCTAAATCAGGAATATGTAAGTTTTCAGGAACATCAGAAATAAACGAAGTTGAATCTGTAAAGACAAGCAGTAAAATATCGCAACATGTCTAATAGCAGTGGAATCCATCTCCACAGTTTTGAAGTGTGAAGGCCAACAGTTATATAAGCGGCCATTCTTGTCGTATTGTTGTATTACAAATATTTTTTTAATATTATACTTGCTATTGAGACTTGGCGCAATGACCAAAAACCTTTCGACATATGGTTATCGCCTTCTTCATCTTTAACAAATATAATGTAATATTACGTTATTATCTTCCCGAGCAAAAGATAATATAGAAAAGAACAGTTAGAACATATATTAGGTAAAAGTATCTGAGAATCAAGCAGAGACGTATTTGTTGTTTCGTCAGATAAAGCCTCCCCCTTCAGCCACTCCTATCTTGTATCTTTTCTAGATGTATATCTATTTCTCTCATTCCCTTTCTCATTACCCATTTATAAAATTTATGTTTTTGTCCTCTTTTTTATAACTCATTTATGTTTGCTTAATTCAAATGTTTTTTAAAGTGACAAATTGTTTAAATCTAAAAATATATTTGTATCTACAATTTTCCTCTGCTTAAAATCTTCCTTGCAAGCCTGTGCATCGTGTGGAACAAAAGCTATTAATTATACAGCTTTAGGTAAAATATAAGAACTGACTAATTGAGCATAAAAATATATAACGTTCGTAGATACATTCCCTTGAGAATTGTAATATTACCTTCTTATTTTTTTCAGTATGATGTACTGCCTCCAGTTGACGTATCTGGTTAAACTGTTGGTGTGAGATGTGATAGTCTGATATATGAATGCTTCTGTTTTCTCTCTCGTGATGCCGGGATTGGCAAAACGTTGGCTGGTTAGTTGTTTACTCCCATTATATTCAATATTAGACTCAATATTTTTATTTCTATTTATATATTTTTATTTTTTATTTATTTTATATTTTTTATTTATATATATTTATTTTTTTATTTATTTTTTTTTTTTTATTTTTATTTTTTATTTATATATTTTTATTTTTTATTTATATATTTTTATTTTTTATTTATTTATTTTTATTTTTATTTTTTTATTGCATTATATATATGGTATGAATGGACCTCACTCAGCTTTAGTACTCAGTGCCATTAAATGTGGCAAAAGGTATTATTTCTCAATAAAAAGATTTAAAAAAATTTTTTTTTTAAAATAAGACTCAAGGTTCTGTGCACGGAATATTCCAATTTTACACTAGCAATTAATTCACATTTCCTTTTTATTTTCTTTATATTACAATAAGGATAAAACTTCAGTTATTGGAGAATATCAAGCGTTGGAAATGGTCTTGAGCTGGAGAAAGGAGCTCATTTGAAGTGAGAATTCCTCCTGCGCACGCATATTGTAACATCTTTCACTATTTATTTAGATTTATACCGGTCGGAAAAGTCGCTTAAGATTAGAAACCTGACAAGTGACGACCATGAATGACGTGTTTTACTTTTTTGGTAAGAAATTCATATTTCTGCACAATATCATTGTAGTTCTTCCATTCTGAAGGCTGCCAGATTTAATTATTTAGGTTTTTTGAAAATTAGGTAAGGGGTGCCGAAGACTCATACTTCAGGGTGCCGAAAACTGGAAACATGGTAATAAAAGACACCGTCTGGTATATATATATATGTATATATATATAATATATATATATATATATATATATATATATATTAAAATTAGAGATCTTAACTGACCTAACAAAACTGAAATTGTTGAAGCAAGCATGCACGCGATTGAGAACTGGACAAACACATTTTAAAGTTTCCTGACGGATGCCGAAAACTGGGGATTTTGCTCTACATTATTCTATATCTTATTAATTATTTTATGTAAATAAAAAAAAATCACCTCACTTATTCTTAGCCCTGTTTTTTTATGCATACTTCTAATGTATTTATTTGCATTAATTCTTTAGTCAATTTATTTGTATTATTCATATGTTTATTTATTTTGTTTATACTAGGGGGATACCCCCTTTCCGCCTAACGTCGAACCAACCCGCCTAAACAAACTATGCATATGAAAAAGGCGAATGAAAAACCGAAATTATTAAACAAGAGAAGAGTCGAAAACATACATCCTGAACATTAACCCAAAAAATCTTATCTGAATGATGGGATTAAGGCACAGTAAGCTCTGCGGGCATTCCAACTTAAATGAAAAATAAAATGTTGGAGTATAAATGTAAATAAAATATAATAGGGAGATAATTTTTGTACTTTAATGTTTATATTACCAATATCTTTTATGTACTTTCAATTTATCTTGTATTATTTATTTCTATTTATATCTTATTTTTCTGATGTATTTTTTTAATTTATAGCCCAGATCACAGGCGGATCTACGGGGTGGGGGGGGGAGCTTTCGGGCTGAAGCCTCCCCCCAAATGGTAAAATATAACCATGTTTTACAGAAAAAATTATTAAAAACTATCAGTTAATGTATTCTTGTTCATGTAATTACATTTAATAGGACTTCAAAAACCACTTAAACACCATTTCATATATGTAATTAATTTCTAATTTTTTTTTCAAATTAATTATCGTAATATGTATATGAAAAAAAAATCTTTCGGGCTGAAGCCCCCTCCCCAAAATTAAATCCTAGATCCGCTAGTGGCCCAGTAAAACATCGACAAACCTTGGAAACCATACAAAGATTACAAATTCTGATTTTTTGTCATACTCTTTTTTTAGGAGGAGTGACCTTTGACATAAATCCTTGTGGGCGCCTAATTTCGCATTGTATATACATTTATCAGAAGTTGATATTGTAATTATCATAATTTATATATATATTCGTATGTTTACATAAACTATCAAAATGTTTCAACTTACAATTAGTGGTACATAAGCTCGCCCCTGTGTTAGGCGACAATTGTTGAAGACCTATTGAAATTTTACTTCTCTGTAGATGGGTAAATTATTTTTTATTTCATTGAGATATGTTTGAAAAAAAAAAACATTTTTAGGTTTCGCTCCTTCATTATAGAACACGAAGCTTTCCTGACCCAGAAATGATGTTAGTTCCCGACGATGAAATTTAACTAAACCAAGTAACCGCTTATTATAGCCGCAAGAAATAATTACTTTTTAATTTCCATAAAAGCCGTTTGTGCGGAAGACATTAGCATATAGCGGGCGGTAACGGGTGCGTGCGTGTGATCCCATCATTTTCATCTCCTTCCGCACTCCCGTAGCGAGTGGGTGGTAGTCGGTTCGTTGACATGCCCCTCTCCGCAGTTAGTGCAATCCTAAAGACCATCTAATTTAACTTGGACCGAATTTCCTCCCAGTCATAAAATTGTTATTTCTGCTTTGCCTCAGGAGTCGCTTATATCCTTCTGACAGTACATTATTTTAATAAATTTATTCAAAATTACTCTTTTTAAATTTCCTTTAAATTTAAACTCTTTTACATAATTAAACGCTTTTATATAAATTTTAAATTATATATATATATATTATTTCATAAAAGCTTTTTTCCTTTCGGTATGCCATATCTGCGATATCATTTCATCAAAATCAATTCAGAATTATGAGCACATTCCTGAGAAATTTAAGGGAAAATGTCATGTTAGAAAAAGTAATTTTATTTGACCATTACTCCATTTGTTCATTTACATATTTTTAAATGAAATGAAAAAATATTTTATTATTCTGGGACTGTTATCCCTTTAGAACAAATTATAAGTACAAATTGTGTGTCTGTGTGGTCACAATTAGATTATATATTTACAATAAGAGTTAACTAGAAATAAAAATACAGATGAAGAAAAAGAAAAGAGCAAGAAAATTGTATATATATATATATATTATAATATATATATATATATATATATACGAAATTAAAATAACCTAAATAAATTGAGATAGTCTCTCTGGGGATGCTTAGATATTCCTCTTAGGTATATTTCGCAATCAGTCGGATTGAGAAAGGAGTAGGTGTTTAAAGAGGAGAGATTGGAAAGAGGAAACTGATTGAGCATGTCAGATATCAGCAGGGATGGAATTCCAGAGGGAGGCGGTTTCAATTGCAAAGGATTTGTCAAACTCAAATGTTCGGTGAGGAGGAGGATAGAGGTCGGAAGTACGAGATCTAGTTGGACGAGATTGAATGGAATATTTGAATTGTAAGCTGCGAAAAATATTGGAGGGTAGATGAGTTCTAATGATCTGGTACAGAAAGGTGTCTAGGAAGTACTAACGGCGATAGGATGGGTAGAGCCACCTCAACTCGGTGTAATACTGGGTAAAATTCGTATCCCTTGAGATTATGAAAACAAATCGTAGTGCGCAATTCATTAGGCGTTTAATTTTGGGCTCCATATCACCCGAGAGTCCACCGTACACCATACAGCCATAGTCGAAGTGGGGGAAAACAAGGGAGGAAACTAGGAGTTGAGGTGACTTATATGGAAGGAGATAACGTAGACGATTGAACTGTTTTAGGGTGGAGATAGTGTGACGGGAAATTTGGGAGATGTGTGGTTTCCAGGACATGATTTAATCAAAAGTAACACCTAGGTTTTTAACGGTGGTGTGGAATAAGATAGGTGAGTTGTTCAGGGGGAGATTGGGAGATACCGGGTAGAATTTGAGGAGTGAGGAGGATCCGATCAAGATGGCTTTTGTCTTCTCGGCGTTCAGAGTGAGCCTATTGAGGTTTGCCCAAGCACTAATTCTGTGAATGTCTTCCTGGAGTTTTAGAATGGCATCTGAGGAATCGGTCGCATTAAAAGAGAGATAAATTTTAATGTCATCGGCATACAGGTGGTATTGACAATGCAGTATAGTGGATGGGACGTAATTTATGTAAAAAAAAAAAAAAATCACCTCGTTTATTCTTAGCCTTGTTTTTTACTCCTTATTTATTTGTAGTTATCGTTAAGTTAAATTATTTATATGCTTGTTTATTTTTATTTTGGTTTTATTTATGTAATTTCTGCTATTGGCGAATTAATATGTTTATATCACTATTCTATTTATATTAACATTATCACTTTATGTATAAAGTTCATTTCTTTATATTGGCTTATTTATATACTTCTATCGAATTATATTTCTATGTTGTAATTTTTTTTATTTTCAGCCCTGATGATGATAAGTTGAAACGTCGGCTAATTTAATAAACTATATAAATCCTAATTATTTGTCACCCTCATAATTTTAAAGTTATAGTGAAATTTATATTTGAAACAGCAAATAAAAACTATTAAAAATTAATTTCATGAAATATTTTATTTTTCAATCTTATTTCAGCTTATTTTCTCCTCTTTATATTTATGAGCAGGGCGATTTACAATTTTCACTATTTTCTTAATTAAATGTTCATCTCTCTAAAATTGTTGCTAAACACTCATAAATTTTGGTAGAACAAATGATTTGGGGGTTTCATTAGAGGCATGCTATCAGATATTTTTGATGTTTTCTGCATTATCATATTTTTGTAATGGGTATATCTAAATGAGTTGCAGTGCATTCATTAAGTTTCTTTGCAGGTTTAATTTTATAAATCATGAAATGAGAAAGAAAAGGAGTTTGTTTTTAATATCCCTTTTTTCATATCATACAATATCTAACTTTTTCTCGAATTGTAGACTGTTTTGTAATATATTATGGAATGTATAATATTAATATTTACTCAATAGGCGTATGAATTTGATCTTGGCCATCACACCAGTATTTTCCTAGTCACCCTGGTCATTTAGTTTCATCCCTATCAACCTCAGATTCTCACGCGCCGAATCATTCCACCTTTATTCGGTCTTCCGTGAAGTTTAACTCATTTTGGAGTTTTCTGGAACAATGCATTGGTGAGTCGCTCATCAGCCATCATAATTACGTGTCCCAGCCATTTATCCTTCGAAATTGAGATTATCGTATATATCGTACTTTCATGTATTGATTGTTTCACCTTACCTTTACCGTAAGATTCACTTAAGAAGTTGTATCTATCCACTTTCCTTTAGAAATAGAAATTTACATATATAAAAGGATTCGTATAAATAAATAAAATTCGTATAAAAGGATACGTATAAAGGTTCCGATTTACGTAATCAGGGTAATCCAAACGAGAATTACGCCAATCATATAACTTTTTTTCAATAGCCACTTTTATAATATTTTTCTCTGGAGTCCTGGTAATATTCTGCCCACTTAATGGCCTTTTACTTCTAAAAAGCACTACGAAGTGTATTATAGTTTTCTACTTTAGTGAATTTCACGTAAATCAGATATATATATATATATATATATATATATATATATATATATGGATGGGGGTCACTTCTGGCATACGATCTAATTTTAACGAATGAATGTAAAAATTAATCCTGTTACTTTTATTTTCCTAATCTTTTTTTTTATTTTTTTATTTTACCGGCCCAATACTTCCACTGAAGTCCTATACTAACCTGTATTACTTGTTGCAAACGTTTTGGAAAGTTTGCTGGTTTGCGAGGCTGTTAAAAAATGGTTAGGTTACTGTTGGGTCATATGAAAAAAATTAATTCACATGTCAACTGCAGCTGAATGTAGATTATTTTCCTGATTATTCCATTCTTGAATTATTGCAACCTGTTTCCGAGTTGTTTTGTTGATATGATCGAGCAATGGTACACCGTACTATGGTTATATAAATGAGGATAAATTTATATAAGAAAATACAAATTGAGAGAATTAACAAACAATAAGGATTGGGAGCAAAGAACTAAACATAACTACTTGTTCCAAATTTTGTTTTGTTGTTGTTCCAAAGAAAATTTATATCAGCTGTTATTCGATTCCAAAATACGAAGATAATTCCTGAAGTCAAGCCTAGCATCAATGAAAAAGATAACTTAAAGGTCTTGGAGGAAATACGAAAAATAGTTGTTCATAAAATCACTTCTTTATGTATTCTTCGTAAATTCTTCTTCACGTATGTATATATATATATATATATATATATATATATATATATATATATATATATATATATATATGTTATGGGTTGTAGTTGAACGGATTTGTAGAGGAAAACCAATAAAAATAAAAGCTTTACCCTGTGATGAATTACAATCCTTTAACTTAAGAAAAAGGGCAGTTGATCCATCACGATTTTAAATCTAGATGAAGACGGAGTGTTGTCAACATAGTCCGATCTGCAGATTGAGAAATTTGTAATGCAGAGTACTTTATATCAGCAAGTCTAAGTGGGAATGGCATTGCAATTCTTGCAGTACAAGAAGATTAACTGATGGTACTTCGGCAGACAAGTAAAAGTCTGGTACATAAATTTTATAAATGTGAGTAATTCTCAGGCAGTAAATTTAATTTTCTAAAATGCTACACTGATAATTTATATTATTACTAATTGAAAATCCAAAAAATAATTCGTGAATGATTTTTTTGTCAACAATCCCTAACTTTCCTCCAATTTTAGGTCAAATCAGGATAAAGATAAAGAAAGGAAAATAAGTTAACGAAAATAAAGAGGAAAGTAGTGCATAAAATTCGATACAGCATAATTTTTTAACTTACCCCAACTTTCTACTTCTCCTTCGAGCCAAATCCATTTACCTGCTGAATGATTTCTCAATCACGCAAAAGAAAAATGAAGTTAGATGAAATTGGACAAGGTATTCTGAAAATTATCTGAATTTTTTTTGAAAATAGAATTAACGATATTAGAGCTATTCATGCACTTGTTGTAAATGCTTAATAGTAAGTTTAGGCCTGTACTGCAAACATATTCTATGAGTTCTTAATTGATTTACTAACTTTTTGATTTATTTTTTAAATGCCAAGGTAAAATTCTTTTACTTATTTTTAAAATTATTACTCAATTTTTCTCAACAAATTTATTATTTTCGCAATACTTTCCCTTAATCTGTGTGAGTCAAACCAAACCAAAAATATCATAACCTTCTCTATGCTTTTACGAATTTAGCAACACTTTATAGGGTCCCAGGCTGTCCCAGAGTGCTAGCGCCCATATTTAACTCACATTTCGTAAATATATTTCTCGACTTTAGACATTTAAGAGGTTTACAATACTTAGCACTGGTTGCATGTATACCCCTATATTTTTTTATATCCTAGTAAAGCATTTTCAAGTAAATAATCCAGCATGAAGATTCACTAGCTTTGGCATTTTAAAAATAAATCAAAACGTAAGTAAATTAATTATGAACTCAAAGACTTTGTTTACAGTATAGGCATAACCTTAATATAACTGATAACATTAAGCATTTACAAGTGCATGAATACCGTTAGTGTCTG